AAAATTAAAGCACTACAAGTTGCCTCTGCTGCATTAATATGGGTTAAAAGTTATTAAAGTGATAGGAAGCAAATGGTGTACTTTAATGGAAGTGAGTCTGCATTTAAAGAGGTAAAACATGGAGTGCCTCAGGGAAGCTGCCTTGGGCCTTTTCTATTTTCTTAGTTTTTAAGAAAATGTCTTACCTTTGGTGTTAAAAAATGCACTTAAGCTGGTGGTAGCAATTTGATTGACTTTCAGCCATTTATGGCCACGGTGTGCTGTTTATATTTTATTGCTTTTATTACACAGTAGGTTGTGTCATTTTTATGTATGAAACATAAGCATTTAGCTAAATTTACTGTATATATTTCATTGTGCTGGGTGCAAATCACTTGAGTTAAGACATTTTCTTAAAGAAATTTGCTGCATTTCATAATCTGAATTCACTTATGCGTATACTAAGGCACCAATAACTGTTTCAGATGTTAGGTAGATGTATTTATGACATTTGAGAAAGATTTTGTCTTGCCAGAATCAACATAGCAGTTTCTACAAGCAAAAACAGCAGCACCGTATAATTGTTTTTTGGGTTACTCACATATATGTACATTTCTGGCTGGTGACAAAAGTCGGACAGATAGTCTGAGTAGATATTTTAACCCAAAGTCCAGAATGGTATTGTCTTTGCAAAAATGCATTGAACAAGTAGCACCAGCGTAGTTGAACGAAATTCACTTTCTAGTCACTTTTTCCTTTGTCCCAATATAGCCTATGACCTCGAGCGAAGTTTCTTTCGCAGAGTTTCAGATGCCGTGGACGTGGATGCATCGGCGATGCTGGCTTAAGGGCTTGACTGACCCGCGGCTGCATCACGTTCTTGTTTCTCAAACGCCTTTTGCAAATAAATTGCTGGTAGCATGTCATGTGAAACCCAGCGTCATCAGGAACATTGTCAAAGTCGATATCAACGCAATGTTTATAAGCTTCTGCAAGGTCCTTTGTCTCACCCTGTAGAGAAAGCCACTTTCTAATACTAGCTCTGTAAGTTTCCCAACGTGTCCTTGTAAAGTCATGAACGTCTTCACTCTGGACAGATGATAGATGCATATAGCATCGTTTTGTTCCTTTTTTATACACTATTGAAGGCTGTTTCCTTTTTTTCCTTTTCTTTTCTTCCTCTTTGCTTGGCTGCTAGATGCGCTCGTCACCATGTTTGTGTATTTCTGATACTATGGCAATGAGAATCGGCTCCTATTGGTCCACTTGACAAAAATCGCTTCACCCCTTTGCATGTTCGATTGCGCATGTGCAGGTCTCACTACGCCGCAGAAAGGAAATAGTTCGACACCGAAACACTGATTACTAAAAATCGACCGGATGGCATGAGTAGATTTTTTTTTTTTTGTACTTACTATCAATAGAGCTATTTTATGGATCACAGTTTATGTTGCCCCACTGAAGTGGAACGAACCAACATGATCTCGCTCAGCCAATACAGCCTAATTGAGTTACTCCTAGCTTAAGAAAAATAAACCTGCTTTGCACCAAATGTAATCACTTTAAGTCTTTTATTACTGCCAGTGTTGCTCTCACCCTGATCTACCAACGAAATCTGTAAAATAAATCATTCTCCATTTCTTTCCAAATCCCCAGTATTCATCCAACTACAGTACCTCACAATTTATCTGGCTAAATCGTCAATTAAGAATTTAAATGTACTCTTGGCTCAAGAAATGAAGTCATCTGTGGCCTGGATCTATAGTAATAAAGTTAAATGAAATGTATTAAAAACCAAGTATGGTAATGTTCCAGTCAAATACAAGGCCTGATCTCATTATTAATTACACAACAGTTGAGCTAGTGGATGGAATCAAATTACTAGGAGTTATAATAGACAAAACGTTATAATGGAATAAAAAAACACAGAATTACTAAAATTGGAAATGTTTTGTCCGTGGTTAAGAGATGAACAAAATATGACACAAAAAATGGTAAAACAAGTAATCCAAGCATTGATTCTTTCACATATTGATTATTGCTCAATCAAATGGTCCAATGCTTCATAAGGAAATATGAGAGGACTACAACTGGTCCAGAACAAAGCTGCTCCTGTGGTTCTTTCTTGTGGGCTGAGAACAAATGCTATAAAAATACATGACAGTTTTTCTTGGTTAGAAATGAGGAACAGATGTGTGTATCACTTAATTGTTCTTATGAGAAATGTGATTACAGCAAGGAAACCTTTCATAATGATAAACGACTTTTTAGTGCAGAGGTGCAAAGTTATAGGACACAACATGCAGGTAGAGGCTATTTCACCTCACCAACATTTAAAGCAGCTGGACAAAGGACAGTGATGTACAGAGCGATGAAATAGTGGAACTCACTCCCAAACTGTATAACACAACTGAATCATATCACAACTTTTCAACGGAAACATTTTTCATTCCTGGATGAGACCGCGACCATTATTTCAGTCTGACAGTTACACCTTATACAGAACCATTATCTGTGTGTGTGTGTGTGTGTGTGTGTGTGTGTATCATTAAGGCCCCCCTTACTAAGATAAAGTAGTCCCTCTGCTGCCATGGCCGCTGCCCTGCTCCCACTGCCCTGGCATCTGCCTGCTCTTCCTCTGCCATCAGGACTGGACCCAGTTCAGTTGCCCCACTTCAGACGAAGGTGGGGGTCCGTTGAAGGGTTTTGGGCTGAGATAAGTCCTGGGGCCTCTCTTGCTGGAGGAGAGCAGGGTTGGGAGGCCGCCATACCACATGGGTCAGGATGGAGGAGGAAGAATATCAGATGAAGTTTGAGGATGAATTACTCCAACTGTTTTCTTTGGCTCAGCTGTGAGAGTGAATCTTGGAGCCCACAGAGCAGAGTCAGAGTGGAGGTCTCCCCTGTTGAATCCACCCATCTGATCTCATTTGTCAATCACTGGATCTATCAAAGGTGATGTGCAGGTGAGGGGATGGAAACAGGAAGTACTGAGACAGGTTTTGCCCCATCAACCAGAGCAGGTTAAAGCTCTCACACACACACCCTACAGGTACGTTTATCATCCAAACTACACCTGGGGCTCTATTTTCGTGCCTCGCCGGAGACGTGCCGGAGACGTGCCGCAGGCGCAGCGTAAGTCAGGTCCGCCGTGCCGACAAGGCGTTCCCAAGCACAATTTGGTATTTTGGTGAGCGGAGCGGCGCAGCCCAGCGTAAGTATCCCCCTTCCCTAACTCAGCTCCTCCCAGCGGCGTAAGTTGTAGCGAGGGAGTAGAGAGGGCGTGGAGTGGGTTTAACACAGCTGAGACCGGTTTTCATCAATCACATAAGCTCCTCTCCTTGCCTTTGAAAAAGCCACCGGCGAGGCGTATTACTATTTTCGTGAAGTAGTCAAAGAGATCAAGAGATGTCTGAAGACAGTAATGCCACAAGATGGCGACATAAAGCAGCTCTGCAACAAGTGTCACTGTAAACCCTGCATTGGGTGTCCTCCCCACTCTCTCATATGAGCACAGATGGATTTGGTGTGTGTAATGCTGGACCCCCTGGTAAGACAAACACCTTTTTCCACAAATAAAGACACTCACATAAAGTTGCACATATTCAAACCTCACGTGACAAAGGTGGGTTGTGTGCACAGATCACAACATTAACTCCAAAAATGGCATTAGAATCTGAACCATCTGTGCGTAAATGACGCATCGCGCTCCGTGGCCTGGCTCTTTGTTTCATAGATGTTGGCATATAAAATAAATTTGGCTCACAAAACTGATTATTATAATATCCGTATGTAGGTGTAAAGTAAATAACTCATCAGAGCACTGAAACAAATCATCTGTTCAGCCGTCGCTTGATTCGGTCAGGTTGTGTGTCCAAACGCGTGCCAAACGCGCTCATCAGATCAGATATAGAACAGAATATATCTTTATAGATCTAAATGTATGTGCTGATTCAGATTATTAGTTGTTGATGATTATTTATTTCACTGAAATGTGCCTGACACTGTGAAAACCTGCCTGTGAGGCATCGGTGACGTATGCGGATACGCCGCCGGTCTACCAAAATACCTCTAGACCAGCTGCGCTCAGCCTGCGCTGAAAGCTGACCAGGTTTGAATCAGCGAGCTTTCAGCGCACTTTACATGCCACTGGCGAGCATGAAAATGTCACTGCCCCCGCTGCTTCTGTCGACACCTCCCTCTGCCTCACCACCACGCCCAGCTTGGCGGATCTCGGTTCGCCTCCGTGGGCCTCAGTCCACGAAAATACCAAACTGGCTGTACGCCGGGCTCCGCCAGACGAAAATACAACTGCGCGGGGTCCGCCACCCTCCACCGCCTCACCGGCGTACACGAAAATAGAGCCCCTGGTCTTCTGACTCCATTAAGGCAGAGTCTTCATTTCATCTTCACACAGATCAATACATAACTTTTTTTTCTTATCCTGAGGTACTTTTTAAACAACAGGAACTTTCCTCAGGAGCCAGGAACCTTCTGAGGAACTCTGTGAGTCAAAAGCAGGAACCAGGGTCTGAGTTTAGCTCTGGAGCTATGGCCTTGCTGCACTGGAGCTGAACCGAAAAAAAGAGGACTTGAGCACAAACTAGTCATACAGTAACTACATGTCAACATCACAACCAGGGGGGAAAAAAAATTATATTCTGTGTAATTAATTTCTAAAGTTTGTCCACAACTCCATAGAGATTGCTGGAGGAGGATTTATGACCTATATTGCAGCCCCTCACCAGAGTGTGCTGTTCTCATGGTGGCTTCACCCAGCGAGTAGGTAGATGATGGTTGTCCATTTTATATGCAGTCTATGGGTAGTCCTGAAAGTTCTTGAATGAAAGGTTTTTAAACATTTAGCCGAAATGCACACACAGTTCTCTTACTTCAATCCTTTCTGCTGATAAGAACTGATGAAAAGATCGTGAAACTCTGAGATTCCATTTTAAGACTTTGAACAACAGATGAAGGATGCCAGTGATATTTCCAACATTTCAACGGCAGAGTTATCACAGGGAGCTTGGTAGTTTAACTGGGAAGTGAATTTTAGACTGAGGTTACAGCTTCACATGTTTACACGTTTCTGCTTTTACAAAGAGAATCATTTAGTTTCTGCTCTCCAATAATCGACACAAAGACACACATTTTCATACAGTTAAAAAGGTTAAAATAAAAGTGCAGAGGATATCACAGCTTATGTAAGCTTATGTTGTAGTTGCATTGTCTCCTTGTCCCTTAGCATCTGCAGGTAAGGTTGTGGAGGTTTCTGTGTTGATGTCAGAGCATCTGGCGTTGGCGATGCAGCGCTGGACGATCTCTGACTGAAGCCTTGTCTGAGTCTCTGATAGAAACTCATCCTGAAGATAGAACACACACACACACACACACACACACACACACACACACAGACACACACACACACACACACACACACACACACACACAGCTGAAGAAATATGTGAAAACAGAAGGTTAATTATAACAAATAAACAGAATTTTCTCTCATTTATTATTGTCGGGGTGAAGGCTTTGATTAAATTGAATGCATTTGTGGAGTTTGACTCGATTATCATGACTCTGAATCTTAACCTGACTGATGACCCATTGGATCTTTTAGAGACAGAACAGTCTGAAGTTTCTGAAGTTATGTTGCTTCTTTGTCGTTTCAGCCGACAGAAATAACATTAAAACTTTAGAAGCAACTCTTGAATGAAGTAAAAATCTGAGCAGAGAGAGGGAAGAGGAATGAAAAACAAGTGTGGATGAAAATCTTAGAGCAGGAGATGGGTGGAGTGCTGACTCCTGGCTGGCTGATGGTCGCCATAATCACTAATTTAGTTTCCCGCCTCATAAATTATCCCCATGGTGACTGTGTGATACTATCAGGAATAAAGTTAATGTATTAACTAAGGTTCAGGAGCAGGACCACACCTCACCACACCTTCAATCACCTGACTAGCATATTTATACACAGCCAGCCCACTACACTCCGTTTGTCTGCAATTCTCTGAGGAACACAGACAGAAACAAGTAAAATCAGCCACTCACCATGGAACTCCAACTGCATGACTCAGATGAGGATCTGTACAAAGAACTGTTCCAAGCCAGTTATCCTTCACTGGAGAGCAGCTATCAAACCACAGCCATGCGTCACAGCGGAGCTGCTCGCACTCCATTCGCTCCCTGAAACATCATCCCAATGGTTCCTATCAGATCCCCGGCCTCATTCCCACCAAGAAGATCGCAGACCAAAGGAGCTGCAATCTCAACAACCTAATCTGCTCTCCACCACGCCACTCTCACCGATTAGCCACAGGCAATCTAACATGCCACGTCACCCGCCGCCGTCGATCCCTGAAGACAAGAGGCATTCCATCTCACCGCAGCGACAGCAAAGCAAGGCTATTCCCGCACTACAATTCCCCCACAACAACTCAGCTACAGCGGCTAAAAATTCCACGATTCCTGCATCCCCGCCAGAGCCAATCAATGCCAGAAACATCATGCATGACGTCACTGAGCAGCTCCCTCAACTGCCACCTGTCTTATCAGCTCTCCCTGGTAGAGATCAGGGGCCTCATGTATCAATACTTGCGTGGAACTCATACCAGAAACGAGCGCACGCAAGGTCCGTAACGCTGAAAAAAATCCGTATGTATCAATGTGTGCGGGCGCCGAAATCCACGTGTGTTTCCTTGATAAATCCCAATCAGCGTGGAATTGAGCGCAGATGTCAGAGCGACTGGGCCCGTCCCCGTTACGCCCTCCTATAAATATGCAGATTTATTTAAATAGGGTCTCCCTGTCCTCGCACGCAGACAAAATGACAAGAAAAACTAAATTTACGGTGTGCGAGGTGGAGGTGCTTGTGGCGGAGGTGGAGGAGCGACAGCGTGTTTTGTTTGGCAGCCTGTCCAGTGGCGTCAGTGCAAAACAAAAACGCTTGGAGTGGGAGAAAGTTTGCGAGAGGGTGAATGCGGTGGGTTCCGAGACACGCACCCCCACGGAGATTAAAAAAAAGTGGTCGGACCTCAAGGTGGAGGTCAAGCGGCGTACAGCTGCCCTCCGGAGGAGTACTGGCCAGACAGGTGGGGTTCCGGGGGAGGAGACCCTCACACCGTTTGAGCAGCGGGTGGTGGCGATTATTATTATAGGGTAAGTGGCGTGTCACACAAATGTCCACATGCTTTGTCATCCCACTGAGCAAAAGACGTATATTAGACGTCTAGTCTAAGTTTATACTTCATTTCAACATCAGGATTCAGTCTATTTTTAGACGTGATTTATACTTCGCCCTTAACTTCATTTTTCGATAACTTTTTATGCAATAAACAATGGTAATGTGCATAACTGACCTCTAAATACTGGATTACATTACCTATGATACCATGGAGAGAGATGTAAACGCAACAGATACACAGAAGCAGGAATTGAAATGAACAAATATTTTTATTGTGTCACAGAAATCAATATGTCGGCCGTGTCGCCGGCTTGCGGAACCCCGGTCCGCAGCAGCCCGTCCGCCGGCTCGGAGTCGTCGGCCAGGACCAGCGGCATTCGGGCCACCCCGGCCCCCGGCCCCAGCACCAGCACCAACACCAGCACCAGCATCAGCGCGCCGACAAGCGGTGGAGCGTCCACCAGCCGCGGCGCTTCCGCTGGACCACCCGGACGCAGTGGAAGGGTCCTCGCGAAGGGGGTCCTGCAATCGCAGGAAGAAATCATCAGGGGGATCGCGGGGATCAACGAGCAGCTGGACCGGCTCGTAAATGTCCTCGAGCGTCTGGTGGAGAAAATAAATTAATTTGGCTCATTGAACTGTGTATTCACTTCTTACCCATTCACACTGGCGATGAGATTCTCCCGCGCGAGGACGGCGGCCCGGCAGGGATCAGCTCGCATCCCTCCGTCTGCTGCTGGTTCGTCATGTGGGGCGACGTGCTGCTCGGCCACGGGGATGTGGTGCACGCTTGTCACATAGTGAGTCACCAAACACCGCCACACAGCGTCGCCAAAGTGCGAATCACAGTCAACGCAAGTATCCGCTCAACGCCAATTTCTACACCACCTCCTGACTTTGCGTTGATTAGCGCTGGAACCGACGCTCGTTTCGCGATGATAAATCTGGACGTGTGCGCCGATTTTGGTGTACGCAAGGTTTTCTTGCGCCGCAAGCGTTGATACATGAGGCCCCTGGTCGTATCACCCCCTGCGCCTGCTCTCTCTGTGTCTGACTTCTCAAACTATCACAGCTTTCTTCACTTCCCTGTGTTTGCAGGCTGCGCAAAATTCCCTTGCACATACATCCTTTCATCCCAACATCCCTTTCTCCTCTCTTCCTTCAGTCTCAAACAGTAATATGGCTTCTGTTCCCCCTCTTCCCATCATAGCCAGTTCCTCAGCCTTTCAAAGAGCCCCTCCACCAATTCATAACCATAGACCATATACAGAATGGACACCGTCCGCCTCCTTACTGGGTAAACCATTTCGAGAACAACAACACTCTGGTGACAGGCTGCAGTATAGGCCATAAATCCCGCCTCCTCCAGCAAAGCTTATGGAGCCGTGGACAACTTCAGAAATTTATTACACAGAATATAAATGTTTTTCCCCCCGGTCATGATGTTGATATGTAGTTAATGTCAGACTGGTTTGCGCTCAAATCCTCTTTTTCCTGTATAGCTCCATTTTTAAAAGTTTTTAGGGGGTTAATGTTTTCTATGATTGACACTTGATACAGCCTATGGGCGTACGAAGATTGCGTAGCTCACCCGGGGGATACACTGTTTGAGCCAAGGGTCATCACAGTGACTCTTGGCGACTCTCCTGCCGAATGCGTGCAATGCTACTGCGCAATGTCGGTTTCAGGATATGGAGAAAAACCACGGCAATACAGAGGGCAATTCAGCTTCAAATCCATACACTGGCGGAAGGCAGAACCAAGTTGTCTATGGTATATACAGTCTATGTTCATAACACTGGCTATCCTCAACCTCCTCCATTTCCCACTGAGCTATCCTATCAACCCTCCCTCCCACCACCCCCATCCTTCCCCAACACCCAAATATATTTCCATCTCTTTTACATAATTACAGATGAGCCACAGCCTCTCCACCTATTTAACCGTGTCTGACTCCTCCCAAGCTATCGTAGCATCTTCACTTTCCTACGTTCGCAGGCTGCACCAAATCCCCGTGCACATACATCCTTCCTTCCCAACATCCCCTCCTCTTCCCTTTCTTCAGCCACATACAGTAATACGGCTTCCGTTCCCTCTCTTCCCACCATATCCAGTTCCTCAGCTCTCTATAGAGCCCTCTACCAACTCCTATACTGGCTATCCTCAACCTTCCCCATTTCCTGTTTATCTATTCCGTCAACCCTCCGTCCCCTTTCCCACCCCCTCCCTTCCCCAACACCCAAATGTATTTCCAAATCCTGTACACAATTACACATTAACCACAGCTGCTTGCTCCACCTATCCAACCAGCCTCATCCATTACCCATCCTTTTTACATCTCACTAGCACTATGCCAACAAATTCTCACTGGTAATTACATAGACCTAGCGCAGCTACTCCATCATCCACAATCGACCCAAAACAACTGAAGGAATTGCAAACCAATTTTGGTCCAGTTCAACTCCGTGACCTACTTCCACCCAGGTCCAAAGACCTAACACCAGTAGAATTCACTTTAACATTTTCACCCTTCTGCAACCTGGTCCGTTTATTTTTTCCATCTTGCAGGTCCGAGCTTGACAATCATTCTTCCATAATCCCAGGCAGGGCCCAGCGTTTTGGTGACACCGGCCTTCACAGTTACCACATACACTTCGCAAACCAGGCAGCCGGCCACATCTAGCGGTTTAACCAGAATACATACTGGGGCATACTCGTCTACGCCCTGTATTGCAAAATCCTGCCGCCCGCACTTCCCTCTCCACGAGTTATGAGTAGCCCCCTCCCACTTAGCCATAGCATGCATCATCAGCGTTCCTCCAGCTCGTTCGCTAAAAAGGGTTGACAAGAAAGAAAGGCCCATCCTTTACCAAGACGGAAGGATGGCGTGCAATAACCTCATCACCTCGGCCACATCCTCTCCAACAGTTGCCTCCTACATGTCTTCTCTTTCCGTGGAAGTGCTGACGTCAGGAGCACATGCCTACACGACCCAACAATACCTGTCAGCTGACTAGCACAGCACCTCAGCTCACCCGTTAAGATAGAAGCACCAAACACCAGTTAATGCCCCCCCTTAGCCACCTCAACTACACCATCCGTATCATCCCACAAGCAAAATCTTTGCCTAACTAATCTCCTGATGAAAGCTGCAGCTGTTCCCTCCTTACACAGCATAGTGGTCCCGAACGAGGCATGCAAAATCGAGACACACGTGATGATTTATAACCAACCAGAAGAAATTCAGCCGCTCACAGATGCAGCTCCCTCCATAGGTTTCGGAGGTTACCACAGGGAAAGATGGATCGCTTCCAATTAGCCTCTAGAGCTAAAAGACCTTAACACAGAATCCCAGTCTCCTTCATTTGCCCTGTACGGACTCTCATTACTACCTTACTTTGGGAGCATGAATAAAATTCAGGCATCTGGCCCCAGAGTCAGATCCGCATCCCTCACCAGTCCCACCGTTTTCACCCACAACTTTCAAATAACTCCCCAGCTAATAAACCTCACTCATGCCTCACCAGATGTAATTCTCAACAGTCTTGCTCCCAGCACTCAATCTGCTTACCCGACAGGCTGGAACTGCTTCAAGTCCTACCACTCCGCATACCAGTTGCCCTTCCCATCTCTGGACATCGTATCCATCCGCAATTTTATAACTCATACCCACACCATCCAAAATATCCGATCCTCGACCATTCAAACCTACCTTGCTGGCATCAATTTCTTCCTCAAAGTCATCACCGGCGCTCAACGCACTGCCATCTCCCACTCTCACGTCACCATGCTAACCGAGGGTTTAAGAAAACAGGAACCTACTATCCCCATTAAGTGCCTACCACTCACCTCCAACTTACTCAGCCTCTGCATTCGTACCCTACGTTCAGGCTACTCATCTCCAACGGTTGATTCTACACTAGAATCAATGTTCCTGCTTGCCTTCTTTAGTTTCCTCAGATGCTCCAAATTCGCTCCGACCTCTTCCGTCTTCAATCCATCCTTTCATCCCAGACTATCAGACATCGCAGTTCACACTTCAGATTCTCTCATATTCACGCTCCAACATAGAAAAACAGATCAGCTCGGGATCTCTTTACCAGTTACGTCTTCCGCTTAAATTCCTACCTCAGTCCATTCGAATCACTCACCAAATACATCAACTCCAGGTATGCAGCTCAAGCATCACCTCACGACCCTCTTTTCCTTACTGAAAACGAAAAAAATGGCTACACGATTCCAGTTCCATAAACACCTGCATCAAGTCCTCCTCATGTCAGGCATAACATCAGAGCAATACTCAGCACATTCATTCCACATCGGCGCAGCATCAACAGCAGCCAGGCTTGGCATATCAGATCGAACAATTCAAACCCTTGGACAATGGTCATCTCAGGCATACCTCTCCTACATTCAAAATAATCTCCACGATCTGTGTCAGGCCACACTCAATTAAGCTTCCTTTCATTATAACTCTTTGGGGGTCGGATTAAGCTTGGGCAGAGCTACGCCTGAGACGGAACCCCATCCTGAGTCTCTCACTGCTGGGCCTCTACAGAACCTCCCAGACCAACCAGACTTGCAACACTCCTCATCAATGTCATTATCCATCACAACATAAACACATCAGACATGATATACACTGAATTTGTATTAAATATTCAAACTTATATCGTTGTGGCGTGGTCATTGCTAGTGAAATGAAGTTAATGTATTAACTAAAGTTCAGGAGCAGGACCACACCTCACTACACCTTCAATCACCTGACTAGCATATTTATACACAGTCAGCCCACTACACCACGTTTGTCTGTAATTCTCTGACCCACCCTCCCTCTCTCTCCCTTTAACATTAACGCTTCTACCATCTCTCTACTTCTGCCTCTCTCTGATCTCACTTCATTTCCGATATAGTCTGGGTCGGACTAAGCTTGGGCAGAGCTATGCCTGAGACGGAACCCCCATCCTGAGTCTCTTACTGCCGGGCCTCTACAGAACCTCCCAGACCAACCAGACTCCTCATCAACGTCATTATCCATCACAACATACACACAGCAGACAAGATATACACACTCCTGAATTTGTATTAAATATTCAAACTTATATCATTGTGGCGTGGTCATTGCTAGTGAAGAGACCATCATCACAAAAGCAGCTGCAGCAGATCTCCTCATCCTTACTCTGATCTTGGTCTCTACAGACTCAGAAACAGACCCTGACCCTGAGAGTTTAAAAGGATCAGTTAAAGTGAGCAGAGGGGGAAGTGGCACATCATGAGGCACGCCAGGAAATCCTCTTACACATTCAAACACATATCCTTCTTCAACAACAGGCGGTCACGCGGAAGAGATCTGAAGATCACCATCAGTCTTTGAGGGGATGCTCTTACATGTGCAGCATCCACAGGATGCTGTTACTCCATTTAAAATACAAGACCTTTATTTACCCCCAAAGGGAAATCCATTCAATGTCCGTCAGTGTGCAGAATCACTCAACACCAGAGTTCACACTGTAGTATTCCCTGACAGATTCATAAAGTCATCAGGACGATTATGAAGACCCCGATTATGAAGAGATCTGAAGATCACCATCAGTCTTTGAGGGGATGCTCTTACATGTGCAGCATCCACAGGATGCTGTTACTCCATTTAAAATACAAGACCTTTATTTACCCCCAAAGGGAAATCCATTCAATGTCCGTCAGTGTGCAGAATCACTCAACACCAGAGTTCACACTGGAGTATTCCCTGACAGATTCATAAAGTCATCAGGACGATTATGAAGGCCCCCCTTGAGAGGTCTTGTCTGTCGTGGTGGTGATTCAGGTTTGTCTCCAGTTCTGCTGATACTGAGACAACTAAAGGGGTGTCTCGGAATCTAACTGATCCCCTGCCTGGTCTGTTAAAGTGGGTCCACAAAAACACAGTCCTCACTCTGTCTAGATTAAAAAACTAAATCTTCTGTCTCCTACCTGTGACCTTCAGCTCAAACACCCGATCACCTGAATCCTGATGATCCCTGCCCACATACACTGATTTAACCCTCTTCACCTGCCTGACACAAACTGTTTCTGCAACAAAAACTAACTTTCTGAGCAGCAGTATGCTCCTGTCTCCTCCCTCCTCTCCTCCCCCCTCCACTCCCTCAGTGGCGGCGGTCTGCAGCAGAGCAGTTAATAAAGAGATTGATTATCAGCCTGTCAGGAAGTGACAGTTGGACAGGGCTGCTCTGCGTGAATGACAGA